CCGAGAGTCGGCCGGCGGGCCCCCAGGCTGCGCGTGTTTCCACCCCGCGCAGACCCTGCGGAGCAAACGCTCGACGCCCCCGGCACGATGCTCTTCCTGCAGCGTTTTGGGGCGTCTTTTTGCAGAAAAGCTGTTTCTGCCGCTGCCGGGACGAGCGAGCACCGTGCAGGAGCCCACCGCCAGCCCCCAGCTCCGGCTGGGCCGGGACCACCTTCCCCAGCCCGGCACCCCTTCCTCATCACCTGCGCCCCCTCACCCAGCCCCTGCACCTCTTCCTCATCCCCGCACCCCCTTCCCCAGCCCCTGCACCTCTTCCTCATCCCCTGCACCCCAGCCCTGCACCCCTTCCTCATCCCCTGCACCCCCTTCCCCAGCCCTGAGCCCTGTTCCTCATCCCCTGCACCCCCTTCCCCAGCCCCTGCACCTCTTCCTCATCCCCTGCACCCCCTTCCCCAGCCCTGCACCCCTTCCTCATCCCCTGCACCCCCTTCCCCAGCCCTGCACCCCTTCCTCATCCCCTGCACCCCCTTCCCCAGCCCTGCACCCCTTCCTCATCCCCTGCACCCCCTTCCCCAGCCCTGCACCCCTTCCTCATCCCCTGCACCCCCTTCCCCAGCCCTGCCGGAGAAGGGGCAGCTGGGAAGGGCCAAGCCATCGCAGGGTGGCTCCATCCCTCCCGGGACCCCCTTACAGACTCCTGTTTCCTCGTCGTTGCAACAGGACCGATGGTTTTCTCGGCACACGGCCAGGACAGACGGAAACCTGCTGTCTGGGAGAAGGGGATTTTGAAGCACCCGCTGTTCCTGTTTGGGCTCCGCTTGCGATTTTCGACGGGGATGTCTTGCAGCCTGAAATCCCTCAGCGGGCTGTCTAGCAGGGGCCCAGACCATCCGTAGGGCTGCCCATCACAGAAGCCACAAAAAAAGGTGAGAAAGGGAAAAAAAAGGCCACGCGAGGCTGGCTGCACCCTCGCCCTTCGGTGCCGGTGCAGCCCACACAGCGGGAAGCCAACCCCACGTGGGGTGGCAGAGGGGAGCTCACCTGTGCTCACCGTGTGCCCCCACGCCGCGGCACCGGCCGCACCGGCCATGCTCTGTTACCCCTGGGGGGGGTCAGTTGCTGCCCCTTACCTGTGAGCCGTAGGGAGCTCAAATACCAAAGCCTCCCAATACAGAAAAACTCGTTACAGCATTTAATTACAAACCCCCGTGACTTCAGCCCAGGAAAGAGCTCCTGGGAAGGGCCAGACTCTGGCACGAAAATCACGCAGGAGGAAATAAAACAGGCGACTGTTTATTAAAATAGACCCTCTCTGTCCTTTTCTCGGAGCCCATTTACACCCTGCTCTGCGCAGGCTCCCCCTTTCACAGCAGCACTTTGGAGTCCTCCGCGCAGCTAT